AACTCAAACCAAATCCATTGGAAGAACATGCTTGAGATTCTTTTTTTTTTTTTGAGATAGAGCCTCAAGCTGTTGCCTTGGGTAGAGTGCCGTGGCATCACACCATACAGCAACCTCCAACTCCTGAGCTTAAGCAATTCTGCCTCTGCCTCCCAAGTAGCTGGGACTACAGGCGCCCGCCACAACGTCTGCTATTTTTTGGTTGCAGCTGTCACTGTTGTTTGGCGGGCCCCACCCAGGTTGGATTTGAACCTGCTACCTTAGGTGTATGTGGCTGGCGCCTTAGCTGCTTGAACTACAGGCGCCGAGCCCATGCTTGAGATTCTATATCCAGATCTGATTACTTCACATCATCTCCTTTGAAAGTACCCTAGTGCAAACCACCATCATGTCTAACTTGGATTATTACAAAAGCCCTTACTGGAAAATTTTTAACCTAGCAGTTGTAGGATCCATTAGAAAATCTAAGTTGGATCATGTTGTTCTGCTACTCAAAACTCTGCGATGGCTCATTCTACCCAGGGTAAAGCTAAAGTCCTTCTCATGGCCCCAGCCCACTACCCCATGACTGTCTTTCCTACTGCTCTCCTTGTGTTCCTTCCACTCCAGCTGGCTTCCCTGCTGTTCCCTGAACATGCCAGACATGCTCCTTTCTTAGGACCCTTGCTCTGCTTGCTCCTTCTGCCTGGAATGTTCTTCCCCCAGATGTCAGTTGGGGGGACCATGCCCATAGCTTTGTTTAAGTCTCACCTTCACATAAGAGCCACCCTGACCACCCTATAAAATGCTATTGCCTCTCCCCCTATTCCCCCAACCCTATCCTACTTGTCCTTTTTCCTTAGCATTTATCACCTTCTAACATACTCTATGATTTATTTATGAATTAAGTCTGTTGCCTTGTCATCTTTGCTGGAAAAATCTTTGATGTAAACTAAGCACCAAGAAAAATAACTAGCACCAGGGATGCTAAATAAATGTTTGTTAAGTGAATGAATAAAATCCCAGGTCTCATTGATCTGGAATAGACAGATGGCAGGAAACAGCTCATATTTATTATCTTTTTTTTTTTT